TTCACATTCCCTCAGTTTTTGAGGTTATGTGCCATATGCCTTACATTTCTTCATGATGGATTCAATTGAAATATTCAGTGACTTGGATATTTCTTATGTCAATCCCCTGACTCCTGCTGGTAAAGAACCTTTTCACAGAGTTGCGTGTAATGTTCTTTTGTCATCGTGGTGCAGTTATAACCAGGAGTGTTGACTCACCAGTGACTGGACCTTCCAGATGCAGGTGTTTTTACACCACAGTCACTGAGACAGATTCACTGCACTCAGATTATCTCCATTTCACTAACTGTGTGACCTCCAGCACCAGCCGGCTGCACCTGTGTTCAATTAGGTGACTCACTTTAAACGGGGTGAAAACTTCTGCAACCACTTACTTTAGGTTTTATATTTTTAATAAAATGACATGACTTTAACAAAATCCTACTCACTTTGACACGGATGAGTGGGATTTAGTTTTTTTTGTAAATTCTTGTCAAAAACGCCAAATGAAATCAGCCATGACTGACCACAACTGATTTTAAAGAAGAATAATGATGATACAGAAAGTTCCACCCAAGTAAGTTAACAGAAACTGTTTCCTGAGGTTTAGTACGTATGAAACCCAGTAAATTTTGAATTATTCACTTATAACACGTCTCCCAGCCGATGAAGCATGTTAACAAGGTAAAAAAGAGGAAAGGTCCCTGTCACCAGAGGGGCTTCTAAGTTGTGAAGCCACATGTCAAATCACTCCTTCTGCACTCACGTTCTTGTTATTTAAGAGGTAACAGGGTGTAATTACGTTAATGAGTCACTGCACATTGCTTTTTCTTTTATTGTGTGTATTGTTTAATGAGCTGAAATGTTGTGGTTAGAGCTAAACAAATGTACTACATTACGGCTCAGGAAAACCATTATCTATTTGGCAGCACGTAGAAACTGTTCAAACTTGAGCCTCCGGTCTACGACACTGAACTTTCCAAGAACACTGCGATCTGTGATTTAGCTCCACTTTTTTTTTTTTGCAGAATCAATCAAGATGATTATCCCAGTGTTTTGACAGGATCAATGCCCCTGTAGGCTCCCCAAGTAAATCATCTTTGGGTACGGAGCGAACCAGTTCCAACAGTGACTCGCAGAAGTATGCGCAGAAATGCAACTTCACGGCCAAGCCACGAAATGAAGGTGAGAAGACAATATACCTACTCCTCTTATCTACATAAATACAATCGGTGTGTTGCAAGGAAGCCAAGAGTCTGCTAGGATTTGGTGGTCTATGTTTTCATTTTTGTTTCCAGACTTTGGATGGGGGTCTCACATACATAATGTCTGCTTTTTTTTTTTAACGCTGCCCCCTGTGTTGGCCCCAAGGAAGACTCATCTTTATTGATTTTGCTCTAAACTGTCGGTACACCAAAACCGTGAAGTGTGTACGGCTGTTCTTGTGAGCAGCGTTCGTCTGACTCAGAACACATGAATGTAAGCTGGAAAGCGGCGCAGAAACATGGTTTCATAAATATGAATGTATTGGATCTCGAGCGTTTAGAGAATGGTTTGCGAACTAGAAAAACGCACTGGATCCCTCTGCTCAACAAATCATCGACAAAGCCACACAGTTTTTCATTCCAGCTCGCGGATGACAGTTTTTTGTGCCTGACAGACAGATTCTGTTGACTGTCGAGAATGCCGGCCAGATGTTGAGGAAGAGGAGGGACAGGCTGCTCAAGCTCAGACCACACTAATAGAGAAAAAAAAAAAAAAACTATCACGCAGAGCCCGAGCCAATTTGAGATTTGTGTTTTGAATAAAAATTGTGAGGTGATGAGTGAGGTTGAAAGACAAGGCTTCCTTGCTCTTCGCAACTTATCTACGACTAAGCCTACTTGACCTTTCTGTCATCTAAAAATACCAGCAGACACGGAGCTGGTTTAATATGAGGACAAAGCCAATAAAAATGTGCATACGTTTTTGTTTTGAAGACAGAAAACGTGACTCGAACAGACCATGCTTGCAGCTCTGTAGTAGCTGCAGTACGGGTGAGACTTAACCCTCTGGACTCCGAGCTGTTTCTGGGTGTTTTGCTCTTTACTTATTTCATTCCAATACAAAGTCCTGCACCTCTATGAAAACAGCAAAGCCATGAGCAGAAGGAGAGAGAACTAGACATGGTCTTCTGTGCAGCATCACACAGTTAGAACGACAAAACAAGAAAGAACTAAAGTGTAAAAAATTCTTAACTAAAAAAGAAATTCAAGTTGCACTGCTGNTCTGCAGAGCTTGATGATGAGCTGATCATTTGAATCAGGTGTGTTGGAAGAGGAGAAACATCTAAAACATGCAGGATGGCGGCCCTCGAGGACCGCAGTTTGACACCCCTGGCCTATATAAACAGTATCAGAATTAGTGTTTGTGCATGCACATCTACCCACCCACCACGCAAGGCAGCTTTTCATTGATTTCTTCTATGTATATGTCAATAAAAAAAAATCCCAATGGAGTGCTAGGGGCATCGCAGAGAGATGACAGCATTCAGGAAATGCAGTACACACAGATACCACAAACGCCGGGTGTTTCTCTCGTGTTGTGCGGCTTCACGTGGTGCTGAAGAAGTCGCCTGGTTGTGCGTCTGCTGCATAAAGCTGCAGTGCAGAGAGAAGAGCTTCGGGGATGGGAAGGAAAGGATGCAGAGAGAGATGGAAACTATCTCTCGCTCGCTTCCTCCTGCCAGCCTCTTTTCAGGCTTCCGTTCCTCAGCAACTGAGTGAAGAGAGACAAATAAAAGTGAGAAGAGACAGGCAGGCAGGCAGAGGAGGCATGCCGCCACAAGAGAGCACCTGTCTAGTCGACCTATTTATAGGCCCGCTAACTATACCATAAGTCTCAGAGGTGGCGATGAGAAGCAAAGCTCCTGCTGCAAGTTGAAAAGTTGTTGGGAGGTTTTTGATGTTTTTATCACCCAGGGCAGCCCGTCGTCGTGGAAGCAGGATCAGCGAGTTAGCCGGGGAACGTTCTGAAACTGTGCCCTTTATTGGCCACCATGAACATGCATGGATAGAGAGATAGACGACAATACAGTTACTGTCATCATTTCTATGATCACGGAGCCCACACAGGCCCATTGAGATCCACACGTTGACAGTAAATCAATATCTGTGTGGTCTTTACAAACCAGAGCACAAACAACAACAGTCAGTGCTCTCTTCTTGAGCTCAGTTAAGCTGATGCTCGCTGTGTTGACTATAGATAGCCAGAAATATCAAGACTGAACACTCTTGCCTGTCCAGTAAATACAAAGCAAAACAAACAGCCAGTTAGCTTAGCTTAGCATAAAGACTGCCGTCCAACACAACCCAATCCATCTATAGATGATCAAGACCCCAAAGTGGACGTCCTTGTGCGTACCGGTAGTTTAATTCTTCAACAACTGTGTGAAAGGGCTGCAGAAAACATCTAAATAGAAGAATGGTCTTCTTTTTTTGCAGCACAGATTTCTGTTGAGCAAACGCATCACTGAAGCGTTAACACAGCTTCTGTGTGTTGAAGAAGCTGTGCCACTTATATGGTCCACAAGTGGTTTTTAAATACAAAAACCAAAGTGTAAACAGAGAAAACGTTGCTGTTTTACTACTTCATGAGTGACGTCGTCACTTGGCTGGACTTGGTGGACTGTTGGTGGACTGTTGGTGGACTCGTTGGCGTTTGTATGCTAAGCTAACAAGCTGCTAGCTCTGGCTTTATATCCAACACACAGACCCAAAGGTGATACTGTTGGTCTACCACTGAAATCACAACTATTCTGATTAGAACAATATGGGAAATTCAAAAGAACACATAGATGCATAAAATACAGTAAAAGGAAAAATATAAACAGCATTTTAAATCAATTCTCCTTAACATAGGGGAATGGATGGATGCCACTGAGCAAAAAATTATGCACAATATTGGAAATGATGTTGGTATAACCCCAAAATCACAAATTAGCAACAAGCCTCCAATGCAGAGAGTTAATGAGGTGGTCCATGCTGCTTTTTGAATGTCGTCCTGCCCCGTCCTAAAGGTCTGGGTGAAGATGATGGAGGTTTTAGGGAGCAGGATCACGTTGTCAGACATCCAGAGCTGTCAGAAATGAGTTCCTAGACAACAGACAGCGGAGTTGTGGACATTTAAGTGCCGTACCTCAGACTGCAGCAGGACAACAGCTCGTCTTTCTCTTGTCATCTGTGGTATTTGAATAAAGCTGCATTTTAAGGTGGATTTTTGTAGTCGCTGGCCTTGAAAGCCACAACCAGCTGGTTTAAGGATGAACTCAAAGGTTGAGAAAATGTTTTAGTTGCACAACTGGCTAAATTGAACCTTCTTGAACAGAAATGTGATTTTTAACTTTGTCTCAGTCGTAACAGAAGACCATTGGGATGCTGCGTTTACATTTTTATTCAGTGTAAAATAAAGAAAATGACAAGAAAATGAGGGTTTTGGTTTAGATGCATGTCAACAGCTTCACTAAAAATCACTTTAATGTAGACTAGTTGCACATTTAGTTAGCTGAAGGTGAGTTCTTTGATGCATTTTCGATGGCGAGGCTTCATGATCGTGGCTTTTTTTTTCTTACTAACACATTTTGATGAAGCTGGCGTTCTTGGTTATTCTGTGTTCGGACTAACTTTGGTGCAAGAAATCCCATTTATGTTATTGTTCCATGTGAAATGAATAAAAACAGCTGAATGTGGATTTCGCTGCATTTCACCAATTTTCCCAGAAATCCATTTGGAGCATTTTCGTTGGCTTTGATTCTGACTTACACGTTTTAACGAAGCTCACGCTCTTTATTATTCTGTGGTTGGACTAACGAATGACCAAACTGAGCTCACACTTCACAGACTTCTACGTAAGCTCCCCCTCACCCCTCGACGCGAAGACGACCGGCAGAATATTCAAGCCGTTTTCGCTTCAGCCTTACCGTTGAAGGATGCCTCTGTTCCACTACGCGGCTCCACTCAGTCTAGATTGCCACAAACTTATCAGAACCCAGTCTGCGGGAAAAAGAAGGGGGAAGGACGACATGTGTATTATCAATCACACTCACGCAATGATCACAATGTAAACACTTTGCGCTTCTGACTAGCTGTTCGTCCTTTTTCTCCGCTACAACATTTGTAACTGCAGACTGGTAGAAGTGACAGATGTGAGCGTGGTGCGAGTGTTTAGTGTCACCGAGGAAGAGTTAGAAACAGGAAAGGAATACTTACGCTCCTTCATCCTTCAGTAGACTCAGGAACTTGCTAACTCTGTAGTCGGGATCCATCTGAAACGCAGACACATTACTTGTTAGTGCAGCAGTCAAATAACCTAAATGTGCTCGGATAACTTCTTTGTAAACGGTGCCAACAGTGGCGGGTCCTGGAGTTCAGTTTGCACAAACAGGATCGCGGCGAAAGGGGAGGGGGAATAGGAAGTAAAATTAATGGCAACCTATGCAATAACTTACAGTATGTCTGGGATCGCCTGTAGCAACTGGAGTTAAGACATGAGAGCAGTCAGGAGCGACGTTTGGAATGAGAGGAAAAAAGATGAAGCGAGCACCGAGGGCTGGATGTGTATGTGAGCGAAGCCGGGCGGCTGTTTGCAGCATGTCTCGGCAAACACAGGTTCATACTTCTTCGGGCTCAGAATGGGGTGTGTTGGGGAGGCGTGGGGGGAAGCGCTGCTGCATTTGTGCATACCACAGCAATTACACAGCATCCAGCCTCAACAAACAGGCCGCACACATCATCAACACAGACACACACACAGGAGGAGAAACAACAATATTTGCAAGATGCCAATATCGGCTGCGGGAAGGGAATTCTTCCTGTTAGCACTGGAGAGGCCGCGAACACCTCAAGATCAAGCTGTTCCAACGGTTCAGTTGTAACCTGTTGTGATTGTCAGTTCCAGGTACAAATGCCCAAGTCTGAGTCAAGATTTAACAAAGAATGCATTTTGAAACATCTGACAAGTTAAGCTTTAAAAGTTCAACGGCAGCATTTGCTGATCTGCACTTTCACGTAGCAGAGAAACATAAAGCATGAAGTGAGGTCAAGCTTTAAAATCACTTACGCAACTTAATAACATGTTCTATTTTTCCCTCGAAAGTCACAGAAGACGTTCTACGACCGTTGAAGGCCATCGAAACGGAAAAATGGGGTTACAAACTCACTTCACTTGAATCACCACAATCACAGGATTCACTTGTTCGGCTCTGGTGTGGAAATTTGTGCAGATGAACAAACTGTTTAGACGGGTCTGACCCAGAAGGGAGGTAAGTTCCCCTCAAAAAAACTTGTGTTGAATAATCTGAGCTACCTCATTTTCCTATTCAGACAAACTAAAATAAAGTGTGGAAATACTGTAATGCTACAAGCAAAAGTCATGCATTTTATTTTTTACGTAAGTGTCAAAGTATTAGCTTCAAAATATCCGTAAAATGCCACACATAAAAGAGAATAATGGCACGTTTCACAAAAATATATAACATAAGATTATAACTCATAATGTATTAATCACTTTCACGTCAATGGTGGTTAAGATTTAACTACTTTTTATAGCTGATCTTTCAAGTTGCTTGTGAATTTCCCCTCAAGACCCAATAAAAGTTTACCTCAGTT